ATCATCTTTTTTATTCCTTGTAGGATCCTCTCCATTTATCCTCCCCAATTCCTCATTCTTCTTCCCCTATAAATTATTTAAAATATAGTGACCATTGATGTGTAATATGTAGAATATGATAGAACACTAGTTTAAGTATCATACTCCTTTTTAATATACCCTAGCTTTCTTGTTTTAAAAATTGAACTAATATATATTTTCTGTAAAACAATTGGAAATGTGGAAAAGTATAAAGAAATAGGAAAAAAAATCACTCATATTATATTATTCAGAAAATGCCATTATTGATCATTTGGTCTATCCTTTCAGTCTTTTTAATATGGACTTTTTAAACCTAGTTAAGATCCTATTCTATGTAATAATTTAAATTATTAAATATTTCAAAAATATAGAAAAATACAGAGGGTAATAAAACTAAACTCCTAAGTGGGTGAGCCCTAGAATCAGACTGCTTGTGTTTGAAACCCTACACTGCATCTTGCTGGGCAACTTTTGCCTTTATTTTCTCATCTGTAAAATGGGGATAATAAAAGTACCTACCTAATAGGGTTGTTTTGAGGGTTAAATGAAGTAGTGCTTGTAAAGCTTTTAGAACAGTGGTGGTATCTATCTATTAAGTGCTCAGTAAGAGTTAGCTGTTATAATAATTACCCTCCAGAACCCCCAACAAAACAATGTTACATTTTGTCATATTTACTTCAGATATCTCCTTCCTCCCTTTCATCCTTTTTTTCTTTCAGAAATAAAGTATTAGAGGTGCAAGTGAAGTGCCTTTTACACTCCTTCCTATCCCATCCCACTCTGCTTTCTTTTCCTCTAGGCAATCACTGTCCTGAAATTGGGTCATATCCTTCTGTCCATGTTTTATACTTTTACTATATTGAATGTATCTATCGTGTATAAATTTTATATCATGTGTTTTCCCATTTAACTGAAAGCATTTTCATTAAAGCTTTGCTCTCTGTCAGACATTTTTCATAAAACAATTCTTTGTGTTGGGATAACGTCCCATTGAGTATCATTATTTACTTAACTGTTTCCCTAGTATTAGCTATTTAGGTTTCATTTATTTTCTTTTACAAATAACACTGGTGAATATTTTTGTCCTTACATTTTTGCAGACATCTTTGATGATTTCTTAGGGTAGGATTCACTGGCCTCAAAGGACAGAAACTTTTAAAGTAATTCACAATGGTTATAAAAATAATATATGATAATTATGGAAAAATTAAAAACATATCTGTAAAAATGAAAGGAAAAACCTGTAGGCCACCATTAAAAGAAGATCACAGCTAACTGTTAGGTTTATTTTCTTCTAGTTATATTCCTTCCATAAAGCAACTTAACTCCCCCCTCCCCAACATGCAGTATACTTGGGAATATACTGTTTATTAAGATTTATTTCCAGCCTTTTTACATTAACATTGTATGATCATATTACCTCAGTTCTTTTAGTATTCTCCTGAAAATATAATTTTCAATGTCTATATAATCCTACCTTATGAAGTAGCATAACTCATTTAGCCATTTCCCTATTTTGGGGCACTTAGATTATTTTATTTTTAATTGTATTAGATGATAGTGAGCATTCTTGTACAGAAATTTTGTGTTCCTTACTTATTGGTTCCTTAAATTAGAGTCCTGGAAGTAAAAATTACTGAATTAAGGCATAAACATATTAAAGGCACTTAATACATATTGTCAAATTGCTCTCCAGAAATACCTTTTCTCCTGAGTGTATAACCCACAACATACACTTGTCAAAATTATGTCTTTGCTTATTAGATACAGAAAACACTTTCCATTAATGTTTTCATTTTGATCGTTTGAAGCTGATTTTTTTAAAATGTGCTAGTTGAATTCATTCAGATTTTTTCCTAAACTTTGTGGGCTTAGACAATCTTTAAAAAATTGGGGTTATTTATACCACAATCTGCTTTAAGTTAAAAAAGAAAATAAAACAAATCTATGCGTTTAGCACCACTTGGATATAGCTATGGCTTTTGTTGATTGTTAATTTGGTTCAATTTTCAGGTACATATTGCACAAAATAAAGTGGAAAACTGATGGCCATCTAGTGACTTTAAACTTTTTAAACCTTCATAGTTCAACTCCTCCCCCCTAAAATTCCATTAAGAATTTTCTATTAAAGTACTTTAAAAAAACTTGACTTTTAGGAGTAAAGTTATTGCTCAGATAATCACAAACTCTTTGAATAATATGTTTTTAGATTCTAAAATAACAGGAATAAAGGAACTGTAGAGTTTTCTTGGAATTTTCCTTTCTCTATTAGTCTGTATGCTGGTTTTAATTAGCCCAGGTCAAGATGTTTTCTATAGGTAAGACTCCTATGAGAAAATTATTTACCAACAGTGGCCAATTGTCCCACTTGGGAAAATCTGTAATTGTCATTTATCCTAGGTGCATTGACTGGGGTGACCTTTATTTTGACAAAGAAAGAAATCCATTAGTCATGTTGTCAGGTCTCGCTTAGATGGCAAAAATATAATACAATTTGACTCAAATTCTGGATGGATTAAAGAATAAAAATATATATAAAAAGAAAATAATAACAAAATAAGAAAAAATTGGGAGCCAGTCCTGATGGCCCAGTGGTTAAAGTTCGGTGAGCTCCACTCCTGCGGCCAGGGTTCAGTTCACTGGTGCAGAACCACACCACTTGTCTGTCAGTAGCCATGCTGTGGCAGTGGCTCACATAGAAGAACTAGAAAGACTTACAACTAGAATATACAGCTATGTATTGGGGCTTTGTGGAGGGGAAAAAAAAAAGAGGAAGATTGACAACAGATGTCAGCTCAGGGTGAATCTTTCCCAGAAAAAAAAAAGAAAGAAAAAATTGGCATCTATATGAACTTGCAGAGGTACAGGTACCTCTAAACATAAAACAAAGGAAGAAATCACACAAGGAAATGTTGCTATATTTCAGTATATAAAAATGATAATCTTCTGTAAAAAAGGTCACCAGAAACAAAATTAAAAGGAAGAGTACAAACTGAGAAAAGTATTTGTGACATATATGGTAAACAAAGGTGTAATACACAAAACTTATAAAGATTGCTTACAAATCAATAACAAAAGATGGAACTTCAATAGAAAAATGGCCAAAGAGTACCAGTGGAAAATTCACACACACTGACAAGAGAAGGAAATATATAAATAGTCAGTAAATATATATGAAAAATTATTCAACATTACTAATTTTAAAAATATATTTAAAAAATACTAAAACGATAGAAATTTTCTCTTCTACCAAAATGGCAAATATCTGAAGTATTATAATCTAGAATGCTGTGAAACAAACACTCAAACTGTTGGTAACAATTGATACAAAATTTTTGGAAGGAATTTGTGCACTATTCATCAAAAACTTTAAAAATATACACACAGGAGGTGATCCAATGATTTCAGTTCTAGAAAGGCATCACAGAAAATTAAAAAGAGATGAGTGCACATATTATGTATCATGTGCATTCATTTTAGAATTATTTATAACATTGAATACTTGAGAAACAATGCCTAATATCTAAGAGTAAATTATGTGTATCCAAACAGTAGAATATATTTTACAGTTATTAAAGCTGTGTTGTCAGAGACTTTAATAACTTGAGAAAATATTCATGTTGTTAAGGAAAATATAAAAACAGGTTACAAATTATAATTCCAGTTTTGCAGTACACACAGTTAAAACACCAGGAAGGAAATTCCTCAAGATGCTAATGCAATACCATTAATAATGTCATCTCTGGGTGGTGGGATCCCCAGTGATTTTTATAGTCTTCTTGATACTCTTAAATATTTTTCAAAATGTTAATGATAAACGTGCATTATTGTTATAATCAGAACACACACACACATGAGAGAGAATAAAACTTTCATGTTTCATGTGGAAATTTTAATTAAAAGGACATTAGAGACAGTGCCACAGACAAATTCAAGTCAACTTATATTGAGTCGGTCAGGTAGATTTCTCCAGGTACTCAATTATCAGAAATTTGGGTGCTCCTTTTGAACAACAGGATAACTCGGTCATTCACAGAACTTTAGACATTGTACAGATGAAGAAAATGCTTGCTTCAGAAACAAAAGGGCTTACTTGCCCAAGGTTGCACGTTATCCCCATGAAATAACGCCAATAGCAGCAATAATTATGGTAACTACTAACGACACATATCGCACCTCCTGCTTGCCAGGCACTCTTCCAGTGCTTTATGTGCCTCAACTTATTTAATCCCGGTAACAACCCTATGGTTAGGTATTGTTATTATTTTCATGAAATAGGTGAGAAAACTGAGTCACAAACTGCATCGATATTTCATTTCCTTTCCCCCCCCATTTCACGCAAATCTTAATGACCTAAAAATTGGATCTGACGCTGGCCAACTTGGATCCTTACGAAGGGCTGTTCCTGGGGCCATCTGTGTGTTTGCGTGTGATGCGAGAAGTAGGGAAATTTTAAAGACCCACCGCCGGAAAACAATGTCCTGATGTCTTGTATTTTACTCTGGCTTCAACCCTGGAGCGCCCCTCCTCGTGGGCCAAGGGGATTGAGCATAGGAGACACTCCAGAGGGACCCCGGTGTCTCTCGCCTCCACGGCGGAACGAGGCTGCCGCCCCGGCTGCGCGGAGCCCCTCAGGACCCGCTCGGCTGGGCCGCAGCCCCCGTCCGCGCCACCTGCTGCCCGGCTCCCGCGTCCCCGCCCCG